CAATATGCACACTCTAGTCATGGGAATCACCCTACCAGGTTTTGATGACAGCAACTATATGATGGTTTTACAGGAGCACAGTAGCTCCCAGCTCCTCCTGTTTGTTCCCAAGCTCTGAGTGTAGGTGTAGAAGCACTTCTGCTGAATAGCTGGTCTCCATAACTCATTTTAGATATTTCCCTTGATTTTCCCCATTGCCTTTTCCTGTTGCCCCAGCAATCACTGCCTCACCATCATAGATGTTTGTATGTGCTGCAGTATTGCCAGCACCTCTCAAGGCAGCAGGTCCTTCAAGGCCCCTGCTAGCACCCTGTTCCTCTAATATAGTTATGCCATCCCATACCTCACCAAGGGAAGGCTCACTATTCCTCCCACCCCCCTCACACCCAGTTTACAACCTTCCCAATGAGCCCCGCTACCTTTTCCCCAAGGATTCTCCTACCCCTTTGAGAAAAGCGAGCTCCATGTGGTGCCCTCAAACCCGGTACCATGTAGGTTAATTGGTTGTCAAAAAAAATCAAAGTTATGGTGACAGCATCAGCCACAAAGCTAGGTATTTAAAAATAAGGTCCTTTGATTTGTTTCTGTGTCCTAGTAAAAAGCAACATGAAGCTGAGATACTTTAAACTGCCTCATCAAGGACTGTGAAATCATTGGCACGTCCAAGTGCTCAAAAGTTGGAAACAGTTCAGTGAAGCTGCACTACAGTGCAGCATACTTACATTAATACAAATCACAAGACTTAACAAGAAATATATGCCCTAGACTGCTCAGTGCTCAGTTTTTCACATCTCAGGTCTTCCCCCAGTACGTCTGTGAACGTCAGCATGTGCAGATCTGTCTTGGTGCGAGAACCTTTTTTGTCTTCTGGCTCAAAGCTTGCTTCCTGAGGTATTTCTTGTGATAAGATTCTAACTGATTTACTGAGGAGGCAAGTGATTGGTTCTACCGTGTGACAATCAATATCACTTTGTGGACATTTGAGAGCACCTTCCTTCAGAGCTGTTTGCCTCTGGAAGAGAGTGCTCAGGAATGTTCAGGTGGAAGATCTGGACTGTGACTAAATAGCTCCAGCTTGGTATGGGAAAACTGGGGAATGATACCATTATGTCCTGTGAAAAACAATGCAGGTGGGCAACCCTGCTCCCTCTTATCTGCTGGCAAGGCCCGGAAGATGGGAATAAAAGCAGTTTCTGCTGAGATCCCAGAGCCAGGAGCTGCCACTCTAACTAGAGCTGACTCAACCACTTTGGATTTGAGCTATCACTCCAAAGAGAGCTGACTCAACTACTTTGGACTCATGAATAAGTTTGTACTGCCATTGGAAAGCATCGCTGTTGTCATGTGGTCACAGTCATCATCAATGGAGAAACAACACCCAACAACCCACCACTACTGAAATCAGTGACTGAACTACGAACCACACTGGACCCATGGTGGTGACTGTCTCCCTCTTGCTTCCTACAAAGACTCCTTACTTCTATTTCCTATCTTTTCTATCGCCCTTCTTCACTTCCCAATCTTCCTGAACGACTAGGATTTGTAATAAACTTGTTGGACGAACATTTGAACCGTTGTTTCTTAATCTCACATCGGGTATACATGTATCAAATACCTCCTCTCCCTCCTATTAAATTGGAGCAAGACACTTGAGTTACATGGGCTGCCCTTGCGCAGCTGCTGGTCCCAACAGGGCTTTGGCCTCCTCCAGCTCTGTCTTAGTGTGCAAACAAAAATGACCCCTCAGAGAGGGAGGAGGAACCTTCCGCATGCAGACCGCATGACCGGACTCAGACACTAATTGAACCATGTCTCTGCTGCAGGTGACAAAGGGGCAGGGACAGTGATGCAAGGGTAGGCAGCATCTTCACCGAAAGCAGGCAAGCAGGATCTCAGCAGGGCTGTGCCTTTGCACTTATTTTGCTTGCTACTGCACACAGGTTCCCAAGATAGAAAAGAGGAGCCATCTCATTTTCTGTATTTTATTTTTGCTAATGTTTCCATGAACAGAATAGCTAAGTTTCAGTCCTATCCAAGCGACCGAAGAGTGCCATTTCAGTGTCACAGCAGAGCAGCTAGAAATGCACTGTGTTAAATTTCTATACATTTTTGCATTAAAATTCTTGGATTTCTGTTATCACTGATTATTTTTGTTATATTTAATGATTTTAGACAGTGTGGAACTAAAAAAAATCCAACAAATTCAGAACTGTTTAAATATTAAAGAATGTCATAAAGCAAAAAAAATGCACACTTCATCCATCTAGCTGGAATCCACACATACTGACTAATTCCTGAAAACTGATAGGAGATAAGATCCAATGGCACTATGTTTATTTTGGGGTTTTAAAAGGCCAAAAAAAAAAAAGGCAGTAAATAAATGGCAGTGGAGAAAACGATGCTTTGGAAAGGTGATTTCAAATAGGAAATGCTGGTGAGGGTGTGGAGGTGATCAGATCACCGTGATTTGCCTCTGGAAAAGCATCTCAGCTTCCACCAAGGGAAAATGTGTGGTTTTGTCACTAAAACAGGTGCCATGCACATACACAGCACCTATCGCTTCTCACACAGTTCGGTTTTGCAGAGGGTGCTCTTTGCTCACCCTGCTGAAGTAGGAAGCCACCTCTGCCCAGGGAGGTAGTCCTGCTAGAGAGGTGCTTAGGAAATGTGCCCAGCTGTGCATGGCTCCACGTTGAGGAGGAGCAGTTCCCTATTGAGAAATCAAGGTCACTCCCTGCTACTCCCGTCTTGGGACCCATGCAGGAGAAATGCCAATGCCTTTTCTCACAGCCTCCAGTTGCATCTGCCCCATGCACTCAAGCCATCCCCACTGCAGTCCTCTGGCCTCTTATACCACCTCTGCACAGCTTATACTGATAGTGGGGGTTGCCTCAACCCAGGTGCAAGACATTCCACTTGACTTTGTTGAACCTCAGGAGGTTTTTCTGACCCCACTGCTTGGGGCAGTTCAGGGCATTCTGTATGGCATCCCGTCCCCTGAGCATGTTGACTGCACCACACAGCTTTGGGTTTCAAGACCGCAAAAATAAATCATCAACTTATATTTGTGAAGCCATTTTCAGCTGATAAAAATGAGCCACACATTTTCAAATGGAATGTATGAAGTCATAAATAGATATTCAACTCAAAAATCAGATCACGTCTCTTTAGTGGACTTTCATGATCCCCGTCTGAGCATAGAAAAATACTCATTGCTTCAAGATTATCCCTATCCTTATTCTTCATGTCATCACTTTTTGGCGGCTCACACATTTTGAACAATTACTGTCAAGGATGAAGTACAGGAAAAGTAAAATTTCATCAAAAATCTCTGATGAACACCTTGAAAACTCACTAAGCTTTGCAGCCACACACATCAGACTAGACTGGTGCACCACTTTCACAAATACAAAGTCAGGTGTCCCACTAGTTCTTAAGTTTTTGTTTTTCTTTTTTTATTGTTTTAAGGAAAAAATATTTAAAATTAAAATGTTTTGTTACTTATATCTTAACAATATTGTATGTTGTGCAAGGGCTGCTCTGAAAGCAGTGCCTCCTGTTTTATTATGCTGGCTCACAACATCAGAGGCAGGTGTTGGTGGTTAGTCAGCAGAGGCTGAACCTTTCCACCAATGTTCCATTACGTGTTGCTACCATGTGACAGATGGCAGCAGAGGAGCACTCTGACAGAATGGTGGTTGGCGTAGCAGTGCGTATGTGCATCATTGAATTCCTCCATGCAGAAAAGATTGCACTCATTGACATTCACCAGCACTTGCTGCATGTTTCTGAAAACCAAACAGCAGATGTAAGCACAGCGAGGCAGTAGGTGGTGCATTCCAGCTGCGGTGATAGGAGGTACAGATGTTTATGTGCACAGCATACAGGCTCTTGTTCATTGCGGGTGAAAATGCACGGATAATGGTGGTGACTGCGTTGAAAAACACTGTTTTGTACCTGAGATTTGCTCTATCACTGTTACTGCACTCTTTGCAGCAGCTGTAATTTCCCTGGAAATAAATAGAAGGCATTGCTTTTGGAGCGATGTATGTATACGTGGCCCAAGACAATTTCTATCCCCTGAATGCAGCGCAGGCAAGCCAAGAGGTTGGGCACCCATACAGTAGTACAACAGTCCTACTGGTATTTTCAAAATATGTAGTTCATTTCCAAATATAAAAAGCATGTCTTTAAAATCTGATAGTAAATGTGTAAGGCATCCATGGTTTGTTCTTTTATGACTCACGGAAATTGTTCTTATTAAATCTCTGTACACTTCTTTCAAACCAACAGTACCAACTCAGTCAGTAAGTAATGCTCTCAACCCCAGGGTTTCAATTTTTGAGTGTTCCTTTGTGGAGTAGGGCGTTGATCCCTTCCGATTTAGAATATTCTGTGATTATTTGATTCTAAACAGCAACGTTACCACAAAGTTGTTCTTTTTAACTTGCATTAGTTTCTGGTTTGTGGAAACTTCTTCAAGCTACCTAATACTTATGACATGATGAATCAATTCATGTCTGCTAGTGTTCTGGTTTCAGCTGAACAGAGCTGATTTTCTTCCTAGTGTCTGGTACAATACTGTTTTGGCTTTAGGAGAAAAACCATGTTGGTAACACACCAGTATGTTGCTGTTAAAACAGTGCTGCACAGAGCCAAGGATGTTTTACAGTGCCTCATACTGTCCTGCCAGCAGGAGGCTATTGCAGAGGCACAAAGAGCTGGGAGGGGACAGAACCAGAACCACTGACCTAAACTGGCCAGAGGGACATTCTATGAAACAGAGTGAAAAACAAAACAAACAAAACAAACAGTAGAACTGAGCTGAGAGGGCTGGAAGGACAGCTGCTGTGTGGAGACTGGCTGCACACTCTACTTTCATTTACACAACAGGTTGTTACCTGGGACGGATGGATGCATTTAAAGAAAAAAAATCAAAGAGTAAGTGGAAAGCTAAGCAAGAAAGTTCAATAAGAAATACTAAATACTTTTTACTGTGATTACATGACTGGCAAAAATCAATACTAATTTATTATTAAAAGAGCATTACAGCAAAAAAGCACTAGTTTTTCAACATCTTTACCACATACACCTACTGCAGTTTATGGCCTTTTTTCACATACAAAAGAAACAAGTCTTCTCCCTATCTGCACTTCTGCAAAGCTTAATGAATTCACCAGCATAAATTAAGCCTAACTCAAAATTCTAGAATTTTTTTTGTGTTTGATACTAGACCATAAGAGCTATTCTTTTAACAAAGGTGAGCTGGGATTCTTAGCAGGGCTTGAGAGTTTAACTGTCCAGTAGGTTGGAAGAGGAAAAAGGGACTACTACACTGTGTGTCATTCAGTCCTTCTTGTCATAAAAAGCTTGCAGAGTTAAGCACAAGACTTTTAATCTTGTTTGTAGTCCAATGTCAACTGTTTTCATGCTTCTCTGTCACAGTTTCTATGAATACTTCTTTGATGATCTCCTTATCCAAGTTTCTACCTGCAAAGAGAAAAAAGATTAGTTAATTGTATTTTATTGGAGCGCATTAAAAAAATCCATTCCTGTAACAAGAAACCTGTAAGACTTCTCACCAGAGAAGATACTTACTCTGTCAATGAGTGAAAATAGCACTTTATCAAAACTAAGCTGCAGGTAACAATATTAATTTTATGTTCTACAGGCAAAAACAGATTTCAAGAAATATGCAACCTCAGCGCTGTAAGATTTTCAGAAACAAACCTGACTTTGTACGCTTTAATGACTTTATATTCTTCACCGTTATTGATTGTGTGATCAAATACTCAAAGCATTCCCATGAACATATAATTCTTTATTTTTTGAATAATCCTCAATATGCTTACATAATTTCTGAATACCTTTTATTTTATTTAACTACAAAGGACAGCAAGCACAGCTGCTCTCAGCTGCTTTAAGGCGGCGCAGGGGGATTTTCATGGATAGAGCTTGGAATGAAGGTTACAGAGAACATCATAATTGCTGTTACTCCAGCTAGTACACGCTGGCTGCTTTTCACTGGACAGGTTTCACTGGACTGCTGCTGAAAGAAAAAGCTCCTTAAAGTTACAGAAAAAGACAAAGTTACTCATACCAATTAAAACGAGTCTATTTGTTCTTTTTTCATCTTCCTTCCATGTTACTGCAGTCTCTTCCACATCATAGAGCTCATGGACACCTTGGACTATCACTTGATGAGATTTGCCTTGAATAGATACGAGTCCCTTATCAGAAAAATAACTGTTAGAGTATATAAACAAACCTTCAAAAACAAAATACTTGTGGGGGAAAAAAACAACTTTAAAAGTGGACAGAACAGGGAAAACCTCTGACAAATATGCAGCAGTTGATCAAAGTAACAATGCAACAGAATCATCTCTTGTAACATCTGTTCTCATATACAATAATTATACTTTGCCATGCTCTCAGTTTCTCATTTGGACAGTTACCTAGAATGTTTGTGCAAATTAAAATGTCATCTCCTACCATGCCACTTTAATTATATGTATGATGTATGTTTCTATGAAAGCCTTATCACCTATCAAAGATGATGTAAAATGAGCAAAAATGTTGAGTCTATTCCCACTGAGTTCTCATGCTTAACATTTACACTGTCTTGAAACAGAATCTCTGAATAGTAGAGAAAGAACAAATATTTGTGTGAAATGACTAGCAATGAAATTACAATGGAATACTTTCAAAACTAAGTCCATTAACTCACATTCCAAAAGTTGCATTAAGAGTTTTCATCACTTGAAAACTTTCTAAAATATTCTAGTCGCACACATCCTGTCAAACACCTCTTATACTTCCTTAAAGAAATAAAAAAAAAAAAACAGTTAAAAGTATTTCATGACAAAAAGTCTGTATTTGACACAGTAGTAGGAATTCCGCAGCCACTGCCAAAAAATATTGTAGTTGCTGGTAAAATATGAATATAAAAACAACAAACTTTGGAATCCATTCAACAATTACCTGGGACTAATTTGCATTGGTGTATTTGTCTGCAACAAATGCTGTTCAGCACACACTGAATTATTTGCCTCAGAAATTTTGATTAGTAAGTTTGATTCCAAAGCTCAGTACAACAGAAGCATACTTCTAATTAGCAGTACAGCTAATTAGTACAGCAGAGAGCTTAAAGTACATCAGCATTGTTGGTTTTTTGTTGTTGTTGCTCTACTTGTTAAGAGGGGGAAGATGAGAATCTTTGTATTTTGCTGCTGAAAGATCAAGAAATACAACCTTTGTACCAGTGAAGTAGAAATAATTATGTTGCTCCCTATGACACACACATTCTCAAGAAACTAATCAGAGTACATTTCATTGTATTTCTTAGACCTTATCAACTTTTACAATTGAGTTTTTTATCATTTACTTAGCTTTCTGGTTTAAGGAAAATGAAAGTATATCCTCAAGCATCACCTACATTCACCTCAAAACCATGCAATGAATTGCACATGGAGATGAATACACTTATGTTTGAATCACGTTTTTAAAACTGCAGTCTGATGTAGACCATAACTAGCATTATGCTGCTTTCTTACACTGAATTAAACTTCTGTTTATTATGCCAATAACTGTAATCATGGACAGAAATCTGTAACTACATCCCTAGATAAGGAGCCATTGAAATGGACAGGACCTTTCAGAGCAAAGGAGGTAAAAATAGCATCACATCCTTTCATTTATGTCCTGATCATTAATTCTGTCCCATTCATATTTGGGACTACAAGTCTCCCTTTCACTACACAGCAAGTAGTACCACTGTTTGCTTCTCTGTCAGCTATCTTGAGTTGTCTTGTTCCCAGCAGACATTTAAGTGTCTCTAAATAGATCAATGACAAACTGGTGTTCTCTCTTTTGTCTGCTCTTTGCTCTGTATGTAACTGACAATACACTGCAGTTCCTTCCAGTTTAAAAGAGGGAAAGCACAAAATAAATAAGCCAGTAGTTTCAGGCAAACCTTCAGTCTTATGACATCCATGGTACGTCCAGTCTTATCTTTCACATTCTTTTCCCACAGAAGATTCTATGAAGAGGAAAAACATTTTCAGAAACAGAACAGCATGGAATGATTTTCTACAAAAAGGCATAATAATTTTGCAGTTGACTATGTTGTGTTAGTATTTACCTGTATAAAGAGATTGAGGTTTTCTTCCTTAATATTTCCTAGGACTTCAAATGTTACTGTCATTATACCCTGTAAATGGAAAGACGCACTTATAATTACTTAACTGAATAAATATTTTCATATTTTCATATATTTTAAAAAGTGTTCTTTACAGCTTGCCCTCATTAAAAAAAAAAGTTATCTATTAGTCCACTTTAAAATACAAACAAGAAATTTTAAAAAATCTCCATTTCTGTTCTGTCCACTTTATTACACTGTTTGTTTGGTTCTGTTTTATCAGACAAAAAATAATCAATATACTTCCAACCTATCAGTGCTTTCCTTCTATGAAAAGTTTGGGGTTTTTGTTTTTGTTTTGTTTTTTTGTTTGTTTGTTTGTTGCTGTTGTTTTACAAATAAGCTATGTAAGAATAGATTTCAGAAATGAAGATGTATTAAGTTTTATTCCAGAAAACCACTAGCAACAGCTCCAAATCAACAATTCTCAAAACAAAAGGTGGTAATAAATGTGTAGTTTAAAATCTATGGTTTCTTAAAAGAAAATAAAAGAAGTAATGCATTTGAACTTATTTTTGTCAATACAGCATCTCAGTGGCACAAAATTACACAAAGAAAATGACTGTTTCTAGTAATCTTAAAGATTACTACTTCCAGAAGATTGCCAGTATAATTAAAAGCACAAGCAAAAAGCGGCAGATCTATGTTTATCCAACACTCAAGTATCACAGAATCACAGAATCACAGAATGGCCAGGGTTGGAAGGGACCTCAAGGATCATGAATCTCCAACCCCCTGCCAATGCAGGGCCACCAACCTCCACATTCAGTGCTAGACCTGGCTGCCCAGGGCCCCATCCAATCTGGCCTTGAACACCTCCAGGGACGGGGCATCCACAGC